TTCTTTATGAATTGCTATGTGTTCTTGGGAAAAATAGTAGAGTAGTTTCCCATTGACTCCTCTATGTTTTAGAATTTGATTTTTCTTCTCTTAGACCAGTTGCCACACAAGGCTAGAAAGCATAGTCTACACTGCTATATAATACATAGCGGGAGAGAGAAAAATGGATTCATGCCTTTGCCAGGGACATTTGTGCAAAAGTGAACACAAGAGACTAGAACAGAATTTGAACTATGCTTGCTGATTTCACCTTTTACACTGATATTTGTTACACTACCCACACACATATTAGTCAAATATTACAATATTTTTATTGATAATTTTCATTCCTTGTATGAATGAATTTCATTAACTGGACACTAATAAAACTGAAGACTTTTTAACCACCATCCCAGCTTGTTGTTTTGATTAAGTCAAGTAATAAACCATATGAATTATTCAAATACATTAATAAAGGACGAAATTTTTTAAATGTCTAAAACCCTTCCATTAAACTGATTCACACTACTATACCTTTCCCAAAACAGTGACATAGAATTTGCATCAAATACAGATAGAAAAGATTACTGTAACAAGAATTTGAAGCATTGTCTATGTATACCCATTTAATGGAAAAACATCAGAAAGTACAGAAAATACCTGAAGTGATTATCTCAAGGAAAAGCAAAATATAATTTCTGTAAGAATTTTTAAAAATCTGTGATATTTTTTATAGTTAAATATTCCTTCTTTAACTCCAGTAAATTTGTTATTAGAGAATCATATTTGAATTTGTTCAATTTCAGAAATGCCTGAATTTGCTCCAGAAGTAATTGATCATCTCATGGATATGACTGGATGTGAAGGAAGAAAAGTTGAATTTAAATGTACAATTATTGGAAAGCCTGAACCAAAGATTACATGGTAAATGAATAAAATGTTTTTTGCTTGCCTTTCTTGCATGTATTAGTTAGTTATCTTTTCTTTTATAATTTCTGTTATAAATGTTAATTTCAGTACATATTGTGGCTTATAATGGTGTTCAGTAGCTTCTAATTATTCTTTCATGTTACTGATTGATGACTGAAGATCTTTTAAATGGCATAGTGTCTCATTAACTAGGATTGAATGTTAGCTGATAATACTGGTCACTCATCTCATACTTGGTTGTACACTAGTGGTTTGTGAGGTTTTTAACTAGATGAGGTCCCCTACCTTGTAGACCATATACACTGTCTTGAGTTTTGGTGCTGGTTTATTTCTTTTATCCAAACCTTGTATAAGTGGATTTCATTTGCAAGTGCAGTTAGGCATGAGGCATCCTCTTTTGGGGGTCACATTGTAACAGTAAAAATACTTTCTGGACAAAGCAATAAGTTCTAGCTGATTACTTTCATTCTCAGTGGCTCCTTACAGTCTCTAATTAGGTGCAATCCCCAACATCTATAGCACCTAACACTTGATAATTCCATATGACCTTTGTTTTCTTTTGGTCCTGTGCTTTGTGTAATCACTGCCATTGTTCGGGGCTCCAGAAGTCTTTTGCTGATCATTTCACAGAGGTTCATATTTTCTACACCAGACACTTGTTGCAGTGCCACTGATACATCATTTGGGAAGCCCGTCACGAAAGCTAGTTTTAGCATCTAATCCAGTCCTCTTCCTAGATATCCTGCCAGCCCCACAAATCTTTTGATATTATTGCCATAGACATCCACTAATTCCCCAGTCCATTTCATTATCTTGAGCTTTTCATAAGCTTCAAACGGCCCTTTAGTGAACGCTTTCTTCAGTCTAGTCTCTATCATGTCTTCGTCCAACTGGTCCAGTCACTCATCTCAAGGAAGAGGGCAAGCTCATCTTGCAGAAAAATTGGAAGGAAACTAGAAAGGTCTGGAGCTTTTTTGTAGCTTGGCAACTAATTTCACTTTCTTTATATATGCAACTATATAACATTCTCCACTAAATGGTGGTATCACATCTCTACCCAGTCTCACCATTCCAGACTCCATATTGCTGATATAGCTTGTGGTTCAAAAAACAATAAAAAATTCTCCTAGGATCTCTCTCATCCTTCTCTTAAATCTCCTTCTTCCTATCTCACAACCTTTCTTGTACGAAACGAACAAGGAAATTTACCACTCCTATTTTTAGTTTTGAGCATTATAGCTTTTCTTCTCTCTCATAATTCATCCCCTCCCACAATATTTTTCTATCATCTGTGTCCCAGCTTCTTCTCTTCCACCATGAGGTAAGCAACATTCCATTGTCTCTTCTTTCATTCAAACTACAGATCAGTAACTTTATATTTTCAAATATTTTCTTGTCATATTCAATACTATCTAAATATTAAACTAAGTAAATAAAAATTTAGTTACCATTGAATATGTGGCTGTAGTGATTGGAGTATACTTATTATGGGTAAAACAAGACCAACACAACTGAATTAGTATTTGTGTTAGTCAACATTTATTCAGACACAAAACAACAGATATTTTGATATAAAAAAGATACTGAACCATCATATGACATGAAATTCAACTTGGAATTTACAGTTTTCTATATATAGTACTTGTGAGTTTTGTATATGCATTTTTTTCTCTAAACAAACTCTTACAAATGAGCATCTCATGCAGATGGTATAGTTCTCAGGAGTTCAAAGTTGTTTTAGTCCTTTTATCTGAAAATTAGAATAAAATGAAATCTTCATAGACACATATTGATAAAATTTTGTGCTTTCAGAGTGGCTGGCTGCATTACTAGAATGCTTGTTGAGATTGTCTAGTGGACTGACCAGGAAAGAAATGTTCATTTATCAAAATACAATGTTTTTAGCACAAGGCCAAAAGGAGAGGAGAGAGAGGTTGGTCATCAGTAACTATCCTGCTCCTAGCTAGTTTGATTTATGACTCATCCATTCTAAGTATTGTCACAAGCTCTGTGATAAGTAAAACAAAACTCAGAACAAAAGTAAAAGTACTAAGCTTTATTTAGCTAAATGAAACTCAGCTACAAAATAAAAGGTGGGTAAGTCACAGATTATATAGCCTGCATGAGCAAGTCTATTGCTCTTACAACATGAGGATAGGATACCAGATTCTTTTGTCCTTGGAAAATTGGGGTATCACCATCCATAATGATCTGGGGGTTTCGTCTTCTGTCCAGACCTCTTTATGTTGGACCTCAGCAATATTTCTATTACATGTCACACCCTCCTCCAGTATAGAAACAATTGGGTTACTACTATCTTGTTTCACAGTGGAGTGTTGAGGGGTTAACTTCATTTTAGTGCAGGGTGCCAAATTGCAAACAGATACCATAGACTCCCTTCCACCTGAATATCTTATGTTGGATTACTGTTGAGGAGTTAAACTTGGTCCACACAAGGATCAGTTTTACCATTTCTTACAAACCTTTTTAATAGTATGGGACCTGGTGACATTAACCAGGATGGCAGTGAACTTCTGTGTGATGAGCAGTACAGGAATGCAAAGAAGCATTCATGAGGGGTGGCATTTGTTGAAGTACACAGTAACAATCTTATGGAGTGTAACACTTCAGGAAGCACCAATTCTCAGTACTTTTCAGGTATGTTATGCAACCTAACAATTAGATGAATCGCCTTCCATATAGTGCCATTAAATTTTTCAACCTGTGCATTCCCAGTTGAGTCATACGAAGTTGTTTTACTTATTAAGAACCCTTTTTGGGAGAGATAGTTTCTCTGATTCTCAGACACAAAGGACGCCCATCTGTCCGATAGTATATAGCTGGGTATTCTGGCTAAGCTGAACAATAGAACTAAGGATTTAATTATTGATGTCATGTGTATGTTTGGACGTGGGAAGAGGAATAGAAGCTGTGAGTATTTGTCAATTACTACAACTAAATATTTTCCCTTGAAGTCAATAGTCGTTCCATGGGTCTGGTCACAATTTTGTTCAATTTTTTTACTCTTCATTTGCTTAATACATAATTACCATATAATAATTTTCAAAACTAAAATTAGGACAGTTTTCAATCTTTATTATAACTATAATTTTTGTTGAATAATAAATTATTTTTTATGAGCCAACATCCCTTAAACTTGTAACTTTTAACATTTTACCATCCCTCTTTATCTCTGTTCTGCTATCCATTTACTCAAACTTGTTAAATAGGTTACTTTCTGTTTCCCCAGATTCTTTTTCCTTCAATCTGTCCTAAGAGTGTTAAATTCTCCAGAACCTCTTTCCTCATGTGTCTTATAAGTCTCAGCTGCTTGTAAGTATCAGCTTCCTTGTAGTTTCCGTTTTCCTTAAGTCTTCTTCGTTGCTCACATGTTCTCTCCATGGTATTCTTAACATTCATTGGTAGAACCAATGCCTTTCATGTTCAAAAAGATACATATTTATATATATTTCATGTACAAAATATTTCCATAATAAACTAATTTATATTTATAATTTTATTTATATTTCAGCTGAAGAAATTCATAACTTTTTAATTTATTTATAAAAACAGTTCATTTTAACCAAAATTCCATTGATAATGTAGCGTTCCGTTGAAAGGGAAGTTACTCTGATTAACTGCGCTAAGATTTAGAGTTATTCCCCTTAGATCAGATCTTTTTTCTGTATGCATGATCTCCCTTTGAAATTGGACATTACAAAAATGTACACATTGTTTTTCTGCGTAGTAAAAAAAGAAAATGTACAGACAATTATTATCCAACTTATGAAACTAAAAATTAATTTTGCTTTAATTTAATTTGTTTACTTACCTGTTATTTTTAAAATTTTAGCAAACTTTATGAAATAGTGGAATATTATTTTCATTCAACTAATATAACTAATATATATATATATAGTGCATGTTATAACATTGTTTATTAAAGCTTTAAATTGTTTTCTAGATTGTAGGAATCAAATCAAACATATATAACTTTTAATTATAGAGAAAAATTCATTTAGAAGATATTCTTGATTGTTGAAATAGTTTTTTTTTCTTTTAAGAGCTTTTTGATATTAATCTAATATGATATCTGAATATTTGCTATTTTGATAAACTCTGATCAATCTAATTTAATGATTTTCTATGTACATTCTTTACTTTAACAAATCAATTTGAAATATTTTATTAAATTTAATAAATATAAATGTGTTTTTATATTTTTATTTGTTATTTTTAAATATATATTTTAAATACTTGTTTTATATGTTTAATAATTTTATTTCAAAATAATCAGCATATAAATATTTCTTTATGCAAAAGTTAAATGATAAAGCCTGTGTCATCTAGTGAATAAATTTATTTTTTGATAAACTACATAAGGAGTGATTAAAGTTTATACTATAATTTCTTTGTTGTACACTATTTTTAATTAAGAAAGAGTGAAGTGTTCATTCACAATAAGGTACATAGGAATGTATACAGCCAATTTATAGTTAGTATATGGCAATAAATTTTCCTTAATATTATGTGGGTAAGTTCATATGTGAGAAAAGAAGTTAATAGGTGAAGTTAACCTTCTACAATGGGTTTGTCAAAATGTACCATTCAACAGCTGAATGATATGAGTAAATTGGAGATTAGAAATTCATATTGTGAGACTTAAAAACAACAAAACCAATTACTCATTTACTGTACTTATAGGAATTTGGTGGTTGAAAGAAAAGGCTAAATTTTACTGAGAATAATTTAATACTCTAATTAGATGAAAAATATTAATGCAATGTCTTATGTATATTTTTATTGTATAGAAGATATCAGTGACACAATTCTGAGTTGGAAAGCTTTTTTGATCCACTTTTACTTATGTTTTCTACAAGTGTTCCTACTGACTAAAAATGTTAAAGTCAAGATGTATATATCTTAGGTAAAGTGAAGATTCTGTAGAATATTTCCTGAGGAAAATAGTTTGTAAAGAAAAAAAAATTATCAAT